AGAGGAAGGGACAGTGCAGAGTGCCCCGGTGTGAGTAGGACCCTGCATGGCCCAGCCTGGCCCGATCTCGTCAGATCTCAGAAGCTAAGCGGGGCTGGCCCTGGCGAGTCCTTGGGTGGGAGACCGCCAAGGAGGGTGGCTGGCTCCGGGTTGGGAAATCCCTGGAAGTGCTGGGAGGGGGTGGAGCCTGGGGAGGGCGGGGTTGGGAAGGGGAGGGACTTGGGGGGAGGGGTACCGTGCCACAGAGTCCACCTCCCAAAGCCTTCCTTCCATTTTCTCGGGTGAACTGAACTCTGCCACAGTTGTCACCCCAGGAGACCTCCAGTCACCCCCTGCCACCAAGGAAGCCAGGGTCACCACGCGCAGAGAGGCCGGCAACCACCCCTGAACGTCTCTCGCCTCCAAAACCCACGGGGTTGCCAGAGGTGGGCCCGCTCCCCCACCACCAGTCTGACACTGTGAACCCGGAATAGAAGACTCTTGCCTTTGTTCCTTCACGATGGGTTCAACATCATTTTTTCTGAAGAATCTGCATTTCTGCTCACATTCCTGACCAGACTAGAAAGGTGCCTTTTGATCACGGGACCTTCTAGGATAAAGTACAGACTGAGGGACTAGGAGACCAGGAGGATAGGACCTGGTTCAGCTGAGGCCGGATGCAGAACATAAGGGAAGCCAATGTTGGATCAGGCCAGTGGCCCATCCAGCCCAACACTCTGAGTCACACAGGGGCCAAAAAGACCAGGTGCCATCAGGAGGTCCAGCAGTGGGGCCAGGACACTAGAAGCCCTCCTCCCACTGTTGCCCCCCCTCCAGCACCAAGAAGACAGAGCATCACTTGCCCCAGACTGAGAGTTCCTATCTATACCTTGTGGCTAACAGCCACTGGTGGATCTCTGCTTCAGATGTTTATCCAATCCCCTCGTATAAAAACATAAGAGAAGCCAATGTTGGATCAGGCCAGTGGCCCATCCAGCCCAACACCCTGTGTCACACGGTGGCCCAAAATGCCAGGTGCCCTCAGGAAGTCCAGCAGGGGGGCCAAGACACTAGAAGCCCCCTCCCACTGTTGACCCCCCCCCCCCCCCCAAGCACCCAGAATACAAGAGCATCCCTTGCACCAGAGCCTTCCCTACTTTACAAGTATTCCGCAGAGTCAGCTCACAGGCTTCCAGGTTTTTGTCTGCAACTACCAGCAATGGCGTCACGCCCATTGTAAGGAAACAGGCCAGCCTTCCAGGGGACACGCACTCTGTGCTGGAGACCAGGTTCCAAAGGCAGCGGCAAGACCACACCCTCTTGATCCGTGCAGATGACTCTGCATTCCCATCACACAACATCACTCTTTTCCCGATTTCATTCTCTCTCCCTCTCTCTTTTTGTGCTACAGTCAACGCAAGACTGACAAGGAGACATTTGATGACAAACCTGTTTTTCCTCAAGACACACTTTACTTGACTGAGGAACAGCCAGATGTTTCCTGTTGGGCAACTTGGCTTCACCTGCCTGCCTGCCTGCCTGCCTGCCAGTTTGCCTTAGGGAATTCCTTAAATTGATTTCACCAGTGACATGTGCAGCGGACTGAAGTTTCCAGTGAACACCATTCCTTGCAGGTTAGTAAAGGGGGTAGGTATACTTTGATTAAATCACAGCACCAAAGGAATGCTAGTTGGATTGGTGCTGGGGGGGGCAACAGTGGGAGGGCTTCTGGTGTCCTGGCCCCAGTGGTGGACCTCCTGAGGGCACCTGGTATTTTAGGCCACTGTGTGACAGTGTTGGGCTGGATGGGCCTTTGGCCTATCCAACATTGGCTTTTCTTATGTTTTTATAAGAGGGAATTGGATAAACATCTGGAGCAGAGATCCACCAGTGGCTCTTAGCCACAAGGTATAGATAGGGACTCTCAGTCTGGGGCGAGTGATGCTCTGGATCCTTGGTACTTGGGGGGGGGGGACAACAGTGGAAGGGCTCCTAGTGTCCTGGCCCCACTGCTGGACCTCCTGATGGCACCTGGTCTTTTTGGCCCCTGTGTGACTCAGAGTGTTGGGCTGGATGGGCCACTGGCCTGATCCAACATTGGCTTCCCTTATGTTCTACATCTGGCCTCTGAATATGAAGGGCTCCTAGTGTCCTGGCCCCACTGCTGGACCTCCTGGTGGCCCCTGGCATTTTTGGCCACTCTGTGTGACAGAGTGTTGGACTGGATGGGCCGTTGGCCTGATCCAACATTTGGCTTCTTTTACGTTCTTATGTCTGGGGCAAGGGATGCTCTGTATTCTTGGTGTTTGGGGTGGGGGGGCAACAGTGGGAGGGCTTCTGGTGTCCTGGCCCCACTGCTGGACCTCCTGATGGCACCTGGCATTTCTGGCCACTGTGTGACCCAGAGTGTTGGGCTGGATGGGCCGTTGGACTGATCCAACATTGGCTTCTCTTACGTTCTTATCGAAACTCTTACGGAGGAACTTCCTAAGAGGCTCTCAGGACAGCAGGCTTTCTGAGCGGTCTGAATAGATCTGGAGATCAGAAATGGGAGGGGGAGAGCCACAACATGCGGATGCTGCGCCACAAGGAAGACCCAGTAATTTGAATGGTCAACATCTGGAGACAAAGCCACATGGGGGGGACTTTAGAAGCATCCCTAATTGTAGCCACCCACCTTCGGGCTGGATAGAGGGAAGAGGCCGAGAAAACGAGGGGCCGTTTTAGCCCGCAGACCCTTCCCTTCCCTTCCCTGCTGGACCACTGAAGTACACCACCGGGGCTCCAGTTCCAGGCGAGGCTTCCCACCTCCCCGAGGCGAGAGGCTGTCAGGAGGAGAGAGAACCCCCCGCACAAGCCCCGTCCCCCAGGAGGAGGCTCCGGTTTCTGCCCTATATGGCCACCTGGCTGAGGCCTCAAGATCTCAGGGTGACATCAGACCGCTCCCAACTCCAGAGGCATCTTTCCCTCCGGCCTAATATGGGCATTCGCTCTACTGGAGGGATGGAAACGTGGCCAAGGAGACAACGTACACACGCACACGCACACAGAGAAAAGCCTCTCTAGATCAAAGAGGCAGGGCTCGTCCCCGTCCCCCCCCCCCCCCGGCCGCCTGCTCCATGTCTAGACACGTCCTCCCTACCCCCAAAAGTCGGAGGTAAGCAGCCAGAGCCAAAGAAGTTACGAGTCTACAAGAGCTCTTCCACCTACATTTATGGGATCATCTGATAAAGCCCAGTAGAAGAATGCAAATATGTAATTGCAGAGCAATTTCCTTAGCCAGTGATTCACGATGAAGAGTAGGTTTGGCTTCTCAGGAGCTGCACAACTGATGCCTGGCGGATCCAAATGGCCTTGCACCAACCGGGGGGGGGGAGGAGGAGGAGGAGAGGCCTAGCCCCAAGGAGGACTCCAAACTGGCAAAACCCCGTGACAGATGTGGAACAAGGCACGGGCCATAAGAACTTGCCCGAGACTGTCTGGCAACTCTACGGGTGACCCAGGAGCTAAGCCCAGATTTCTTAGGTCTACGGAGAATTTGCCCCAGATCCAGATCGCCCCATCGCCCCACTCTTCCCTTCTGTCTCCCCTGCTGGGCCACTGAAGCGGCTCAGCAACATTCCCCCACACACACACTTCCCCTCTCTCCACTGAGCCTCCGCTCACAGTTACACCAATGGCCGAATTCAGAGAAGCATTGCCAGAATTACTGTTGTTCGGTCTGTTGCATTCTCCTCCCGACTGCCAAAATCCGGGCCTCGTTTCTCCCCAAATACGCCTTTATTTTAAGGAGCTTACCATTTTGTTCTGTACAGAAAGAGTATCTCTTTTCCTGGTCAAAGTCGGAGGTGGTGCTGCACCAGAGCGTCCCGTCCGTGCGGCCTTCCGAAGTGCACGAGTAGAAAGTCCGCCCGTTGTAGGTGAACGGGAACACGCAAGGCTCCCCGTTGGAGTTCCCACCGTAGGTCTGGGTCACAGCTTTGAAACAGAACAGAACTTTGCATCAGGATCCCGCAGCAGAGCCGCAAATACAAGACCGCGAAGGAGCCTGATCTCTCTTTGCCGTAGCTCTGGCTACCCCTTATTCAATACGACTCAGCATTCAGAAGAACTTCCACAGCCACCGGTCAGAGAGGCCAGTATTCTCCTCTGACTGAGTACAGAGCCTAGCCTACATCACAGGGTGGTTGTGTGGAGAAAATGGAGGAAGGGAAAACAATGTCGGCCCCTTTGGGTCCCGGGGGGGGGAGAGAGAAAGGTGGGGCACGAATGAATGAATGGAATGAATCAATCAATCAATGCAGAGGTCTTGAGGCTATGGGATCACAGCCCGCCTAAGCCCAGCCAATGGGTGGAGGTGAGATTTGAACCAGGACCCCGACGCTTTTAAGCACAAGGCTTATTTTCATCCAGCGGGGCTAATTCCTGCGGAAACTGTTTGGTTCAAACGGCTCGGCCATGCAGCTCAGCACCGCTGGCTTGACTGCCGCCTCTCCCGTTCTGCTCCACTGCGGAAACCCAGCCACGGAGACACCCGGAGGAGGGCTGGAGCGCTGTTCTGGCCGCTCGGCCCGGATCCTGCCTCTCTCCCCTCCAAGCAGGCGGAGGAGCCTTCCTCCAGCAGAAGAACCACTCTGTTTATTTGGAGCGCTCCTAAACCATGTCTCCGGAGAACCGGCTCTCAAAATAATAAAACATAAAGCCCAATAAGAGCTATCAGTCAATAAGCCTTCAAAAGCCAAGATCAAAAACGCAGCTAGACCATAGAAACAGCACCGCTTAAGTCGCTGAGCTGCTTAAAGCAGGTCTCAAAGCCGTTCTTGGTCCATGTCAGACTCCTAATTAAGCCTGGGGTAAAAAGACGCCTAAAAAAAGAATGAAGTGGGCACAGGGTGAGCTTCGAGGAAGGGCGCACCGAAGGCAGGGCTCATTGTGAGGCTCCTCTTAGCTGGCAGGCTGGGCAGGGGAAGGGAAGGGGGCAGTGGCCGGCTACAAAGAACCCCTAACCCCCATCTTGCCCCTAATGATGGCCTGGCTGCTGTGTTTTGAAACCGGTCAAGTTTCTGGGCAAAGGCAGCCCCCCCCGCCCCTGTAAAGCACGTTACAGTAGTCTAGCCCAGACAGAGTGGGAGCACAGACGGTCACGGCCAGATCGTGACTTTCAAGGAATGGCCCCTGGCTGGCCCATCAGCCGAGGCTGATCCAACGCACGGTGTCCCACAGGGGAGAGACCTGGGCCTCCTCCCCCAGACCCACCAGACTCAGCGGCTGAGGAGAAGCAGGGTGTCACCCCCACACTCCAGATGCCCAGATGGGTCTCCCCCAGCGGCTTCACGCGGGTGACGGGGCACAAGGCGTTGGAACCCTGCAGCACCAAAGCCACACGGCTGGGCGGCCGCAGCCCCACCGCCTTCTGGGACCGGTCAGCCAAGGAAGAGCAGGACCACCCATGGGCCATGCCCCCTCCCCCAACACAGCCAGCCAGCCCTCCCCCCCCCGAAGGACGCCCCGGGCTAGCGCGTCAAAAGCCACCGGGAGAGGCAGGGGGGCACTTCCCCACCACCACTCTCCTGGTGAAGAGCCCGAGCTGTTGCCGTCCCAACCCCAGACCGAAATGGGCCCAAAAGAATCCAGCCCCTCCAAGACCACCAAAAGCTGTGCAGCCGCCCCCTCCTCTAGCCTCCTGCTCAAGGACGGAACGTCGCCCACCGGGAGGTCGTTGTTCAAGTCATTTTGGGGTCCAGGGATGCCTTCTGCAGGAGGGGCCGCACTCCCCCACGGGCAGGCTTCTATTACCTCCCTGACCCACTTGCCCGGCCTAGCCAGGCGTGACACCGAGAGCCACAAAGAGGATCAAGGCGAGACACGGTGGGCCGCACACTTCTAACACGCTTCTCCTTGCATTGGAGAAAGGATCCTGGGGCTGGAGGGATTTTTTCCCGGCCTACGGTGGGATGCTGGCCCTTTTCAAACTCCTGCTCCCACTGAGTAGCTCCCCTGTGTATTCCGCCGACCACCTCTGTGTTCTGCAACCTGAGAGTCTCCCCCCCCCTCTCTCCTCTACCCGGGAGCATGAGAGTCGGCCCGTACCTGTTTCCTGGCAACTGACGCCGTTGCCCAGACACGTGCAAAGCATGTGCTGGCTGCCCTGCGTCTTGAGCCACTGCATGCCCACGGAATACACCATGCCGTTGTCGGTGACGCAGTGCCCGTACGGGGCGGGCTGGGGCTGAGGCTGGTAAAGGGCAGTCTGCACGTCGGTGAAGGTGGTTGATCCAGTTCCTAAGGCAGAAGACGGAAGCAGACTGTTCAGTCGACAGAAGAAGAAGCAGGAGGAGGAGGAGGAGATTGGATTCATACCCCCCGCCCTTCTCTACCCAAGGGAGTCTCAGAGTGGCTGACAAACTCCTTTCCCTTCCCCTCCCCACAACAGGCACCCTGGGAGGAAGGCGGGGCTGAGAGAGCTCTTGACAGAAACGGCTTTTTCAAGAACAGCTCTTATCAGAACTACGGCTTGCCCAAGGTCATCCAGCCAGGTGCAAATGGAGGAGTGGGGAATCAGAGTCCGCGCACTTAACCACTACACCAAACTGGCTCATTAAGATCTCTGCCACTGAAAAGGCACAGCTACCCTTCCAACACAGCATCTTGAAAATGGCTTCTTTGACATTCCGCTGTGTCCCCCACCCAAACATGCCCTCTCTCACACATCTTAGCAAAGGAGTACATTCCCCTCAGACAGGAAGCTGGCTGGCGTGCCACGCCCAAAGGTTGGCTCCCGTGATCCCAAGGGTGGGATTCTGTGAATGGCTGGGGGGGGGATAACAAACCAACTGGCCCTCGGCCATCGCAGTTCATAAAGGGGGTGTGTGTGTAGGAGTGTGGGTGGGGCAATTTGGACACTTAACGCAAAAGAAACAATTTGACGAAAGTGCCGGGAGTCCTCATGTGCCTTTTTGGTGAGTGGCAACACAGAAATGTGACGCATGCAGGTCTCATGATCCTCTCCCAGCCAATCACCACTCACCGATTCCCGTGGCTTGCAGGGAGGCGTGTCTCTCGCATTTCCACTCCCCTCTGCCGTTCCCTGTGCAAATGCACTGCAGGAGGTTTCCTCTGTTATCTTTCTTGCTCCAAGTGTCTCCGATTCTGTAGGACGTCCTGGTGTCCTGGTCATTGCACCTGTCTGTGGAGGGGGGGGAGAGAAATATGCATAGCAGAGGACCCAAGCTAAGGAGACTGAGTCTTCAGGTAGACCGGGCCAGTTAAAGACTGCCGACCTGTTTTAGTTACGGGAAACCAAAGCCAACTTGTGTCTGGATTCATGTCCATTTTCCCATCCTGCAATGGGGGATGAGAGAGGTCTCTCCTCCAGTGACACAGCTGGGAGTTTTACCCAGCAGCCCAGAAAGTGTCGTGATGGAAAACCCTTTCCCTCCAAACATAGAAGGGCCCTGCTGGGTCAGTCCAGCAGCCTGTCTCAGTCAGACAGTGCCCAACCAGTTCCTCTGGAGGGCCAACGACGGGGCTCGGAGGCCGAAGCCTTCCCCAGATGTGGCCTCCTGGCTCCGGGATCCAGAGCAGACTCGTGCCTATGAACATGACTAACTACTGGTCACGGCAAGTACACATGGATGAGTTTTATTAAAAACACCACTTTTGACACCGAAGATGAGCTCTGAAGGCAGGCCGAACAGAGTATGAGAGCAGCGATCCTTTGCACATTTACCTGGGAGTAAGGCTGGACCCACCAATCACTAGCTTTGTGCCACAGCAACCTTCACAACTAAACTGTCTTGTGTTTACAAGACAATCCATGTGCGAGTGAATGTAGCAAAACGATAAGACAGCCCAACATCCAATGCTCTCTGCGTGCAACCTTACACCCAGCAACATAAATGGAACGTACGTGCAACTAAATATGAAAAGGGTTAGGATTTAATTCATTCTTCATCACAGCAGAACTGGTTTTGTGTCCCACCTTGCTTTCACTGCATCCTCCTCTGCCTCCGCCGGCCACCGTCTGCATTACACATTGCGGCATCTCATGCCTTAAACAGGGGAGGGTTCCCTAACCCTCGTCCTACTGCCCCGTCTGCTGCAAGGCCCCCCAATCTTTTTGAACCTGCAGCCACCTTTGCCATTCTGACATGGCGTGGTGGGAACAGCCACAAAATGGCTGCCACAGGAGGCAGACACAGTCACAAAATGGCCGCTGTTTCCCTCCAGCCACATAGTGAAGCTCCTTGTGCAGGGGTGGCCTCTATTGCCAAAGTAACATTTTGAAAAACTTGCACAGCCAATCAAATTCTCCAATGATCGATCAGAAGCCTGGCTGGGCAAAAGCCCCGCCTGGCCCCCCTCTCACTTCCTCAACACACTCGGTGGGCACCGTGACACCCACATGTACCCCACCGGGGGGGAGGGGCTGGTCTTTTGGATGCCTTTCAGTTTTTTGGTTTGTTTTACGTTTGGTAATCTACTTTGAGCCTCAGCCCTAAAGATGGGCAAAGGAAGAAGAAAATAAATACTCCGGGACAGAGGGGCCAAATTTCTGGAGATCAGTAGAAAACAACTTCTATAGTGAACAAAGGGGCATTATAGGGACGGAAACCCTCTCAATACAATCACAATATGTAGAACTACTGGCACATTTCTCTATTAAGAATCTTTACGACATTGAACAGGTCGACTGGGTTAATAATGCATTATCACTGAACACTTTCTAGTGTATGCTAATTGCCAAAATTATAACATTTAAACAAAACTATTATTGAAAATGTTGTATATATCTACAGCATACAAAAGTATTAGCGCTATCTAATCCTGTAGATTGCTGCACATAACTCCGTAGATTGTTGTTCATACTACACATTTTGAGTAAAACCTGCTCTTTCTCTCCATTCCGAAAAGGGAGGGGAAAAACCATAGTTTTTTGCAGTATGCTCCAAAACTTGCCAATTTTGCCACTGGAAAAATTGAAAACGTCCTCAGAATTTTAACATGACACACATTTGTGTATGAAACCCTTGCCTTAAGAAGCACTGCGCTCATTCTACTAGGAAAATGTTCCGTAGGCGCTTCTTTCCGAAGAGTTCCCACATTTTTCCATTGGAAACACTGAAATAAGCTTTGGAGGGAAAATGAGGGAAAATCTTCTATCAATTTTCCCCAGTTTCCCCCAGGCCGTGACACTTCTGCTCTGGGATCAACACAGCAACTGTTTGCTTGCATGAGAAACGACGGTCTAAAACGCCCAGAATTCAGCCTCAGTTCATCCAGTGTGGTTTTACTCACAGCGCACACTATGACAGATGGGAAACCGTGATCCAGAGCCTCAGGCTCTCCCCTCTCACAGACAGCCCAGGCGCTCGCGCTCCCTCTCGCTCTCTCTCTCAAGCCTCGTTACCCCTCATGCACCTCTTCATACAGACAACCACCTAAGAAACACCCCCACCCACTTCTCCATTCGCACAGCCTTTCTGGAAAGCGGGGGGGGAGGGGGGAGAGACCCGTCTTCCCTCTAAGCTGAGTAAGTGTGAGCTAGCTCACAGTCTCTTCGCCTCCGGCTCACAAAATTTCGCCTTAGCTCAGGGAGGATGGGGCTCCAGAGCAAACTAATTTATGTGGTAGCCAAGTGGCTCGCTCACAACTTCAATGCCAGTAGCTCACAAAGCAGAATTTGTGCTCACGAGAAGACTCCACGGCTTAGAGGGAGCATTGAGGGGGACCCGACAAAAACCTTTTCCATCTTCTTCCTCTGCCTGGTGACGGAAACCAGCCATGACCAACAGTGAGCCAGGCTGAGGGCATCCCCCTTCTCCCCCGTCGCAAGATTTGGTAAGGAGGAGACCCCCCCGCCCTCTGCATCGCTCCAGATACTCATCCAGTGTGAGCTCTTTGGCAACAAAGACTCTTCCATGTGGGAAACACATTAGAGAGATGCCAGAGGAGACTGATGGGATGCGTGTCTTTGCCAGGAAACTAGTCTGCGGAGCATGATGCATGTCTGTGGTGGATGGGCACCCTGGGACCGAACTTTCCAAAACATTCAGAGCTGGGAACCCGAAGGCCGAAGGCACGGCTCAGAAAGCTCAAACTGACGCTGGATGGGAATAGCACCTGGTGGACGTCCACACCGTAAGGGGGGGGAGGGGACTCCGTCTTTGTGTGCCAGCAACGGCAGCCTTTGTGAGAAAGTGAAGTGAAGAAGAAAGCTTCTTAATCCAGCCAGGAGAGCATTTCCCCCACTGGATGGCTACCATGCAGGACCTCAGTATTATGAACTGGAAGGGAAGGAGGCGAGAGGAGCCCTGAAGCATTTTCACAGCACTCCTCAGCGGCAGGAGATGAATCCGAAAGGGCAGGGAGGGCAACGACGGACGTATTGCTGTTCTGAGGTCATTAAGCGGAAGGGCCTCACGGAGACTGGCTCAAAGTGGGATGGACAGGAAGGGTCCAGACGGAGTCTGGGAAACTCCGAGTCAAGCAGAGGGTTTGCAGGCACACCCCAAGCAACTGCCTGGACTATACTGGGCACTGTGGGTCGTGGATGAGCTCCAAAACAAACAGAGGGCTGGTAGAGCCCACAGACCAGATGTTGCTCTTCAGCTGGAGTTTTAATCCCAGTCTGCCCACATACCAAACGAGGGTCGTATGCAAGTCCCTAGGTCTCACCTGCGTCCTCAGAACATTACTTGTCAATCAGATTTCTAAGCTGTCTCTCTAGAAACCTGCGTCCTAAGGGGGGGGGGGCAGCTCCCCAGGTAGAGAGATAGATGAGCTGCTTGCCAGGGGCTCCAGGGCAGTTCCTGGGGGTGTGCGATCTTCAAGAAACAATGGATTGGTTATTTTAGCCAGCATTTGTACTAAGCCCACAGAACAGATTTCATTGGAATTTAGAAAAGAATCGTAAATTTCACATTTACATATCAACTTGAACTTCTATATACAGAAGCGGGGGACCCACAAGGACTTGTGGGAGGCCTCTCCTCCCTCCCCCCCCCCCCTATTTCCTCTTTCTCCCTTTCCCGGCAGTCCCCCCCACAGCCTCTCTTCTTTTCCTGCCTCCTACTCTCTTTCCCACCCACAAGCCAACCCACTTTGATCTACCTTCACGGTCTTCAGCTTTCCCCACCGTGGCAGCCACCCCTCAGGAAAACACTAGTTGTGTTGCACACGGCTAGCCACTGGACACATAGTGAGGAACCTGCAATAACTTGCAGGGGGCGCCTCCTGGGGTAGGGCAGGTTATAAATTAAACAAACAAACAAACAAATCTTTTGTCCGCTCCCAAGTTTCAGCTATATTTATTGTGTACTTCTTTTATACCCTGCCTTTCTCCACCGTGTGGACCCAAAGCAGCTTACACCCTTCTCCTCTCCTCCATCTTATCTGAGTTGAGGTAGGTTGGGCTGAGAATGCGCAACCCAAAGTCACCCAGTGACTTTCCACAGAAAAGCGAGGATTTGGGCCTAGCCCTCCCAGATCCCAGTCTGAAGCTCTAACCACTGCCCCACTGGCTTTCCGGAGGCAGCTAGGCCTGGGTGCCATGCAGGCTGGGGGGGGGGGCAGCAAGGAGCCAGGTGGCTGCAGATGGGCAGCTCTGCTCCTGCAGAGTGCAGGGGGCTGGACTAGATGACCTGCAAGGTCCCTTCCAACTCTAACATTCTATGATTCTATGGGCCTGGTTCCAGTGAGTCCTCCCACAAACACCAGAGTAGCCATGGAAAGGGTTCTGCCCGCTCTCCCTTCCATATCCTGACTGAAAGGCTGGCAATACTCTTTCAGTTGCCTAGCAACCGTCACCGAGGGCATTCATTCCTTAAGGCTACAGGCACTGTCTCTATTGTTTTGGGGAGCTGCAAGGCTTATGTTTGGCAGGTAGTTTGCACCTTGAAACAGCCGTTACTTGGAGGAACGAGAGGGCAGGTAAGCAGTGAGGGAAGCCCTTTGCCTCCCTTCAGACACACAAGAGCTTGCTGAGGCTCAACAGTGGTGAGCCTTCATGCAAAGAGACACTCTGGTAATTAAGAAGGTTGTCATTAGAGTTATATACCTCACATTAATATGCAAATCAGCAAGCAACACTGCACATTTCACATTTTTAGGCTCACTCCAGGGAAGTACACTGAAACTTTTGTACACTGTGGCACGGGGCCATACCACGAGCCGATACCTACTCCGGGAAGTGCAGGTGATGCGCCCGCTGCCTTCTCCCAGGCAAGTGCAGTCCACCATCATCCAGCCTTGGTAGGGCTTCTCCCAGATCTCGCCGACAACATAGGAGGTCCCAGCAGAATTGTCATAGCACCGCTCCGCTACAGGAAATCAGTTGGAAAACGTTGGGAGGACAGCGGGAGCTTATTTTGTTCACAGAATTTCATTTAGTGCAAACTAGATGGCCCAAGCGAGGCCAATCTCATCAGATCTTGGCAGCTGAGCAGGGTCAGCCCCAGTTAGTCCTTGGATGGGAGACCCACCAAGGAAATCAACGGCTGCGACACAGAGGCAGGCAAGGGCAAACCACGGCTGCTACATAGAGGCAGGCCAGGGCAAACCACCTGTGCTCCTCTCTTGCCCTGAAAACCCCATGAAGGTCACCGCAAGTCAGCTGCAACCTGACTGTCCTTCCACCCCCACACTGAAAGAAGAAGAGGAGATTGGATTGATACCCCATGGCCCTTCAGTTTGGTGCAGTGGTTAAGTGTGTGGACTCCAATCTGGGAGAACCAGGTTTGATTCCCCACTCCTCCACTTGCACCTGCTGATGTGACCTTGGGTCAGTCACAAGCTCCGGCACAGCTGTTCCTGAAAGAGCAGTTTGTGTCAGAGCTCTCTCAGCCCCACCTACCTCACAGGGTGTCTGTTGTGGGGAGGGGAAGGGAAAGGAGTTTGTAAACCGCTCTGAGACTCCAAGTGAAGGGCGGGGTATAAATCCAATCTCTTCTTCTTCTTCTTCTTCTTCTTCTTCTTCACTACCCAAAGGAGTCTCAGAGCAGCTTACAATCTCCTTTCCCTTCCCCTCCCCACCACAGACACCCTGTGAGGTAGGCGGGGCTGAGAGAGCTCTTCACAGAGACTGCTCTTTTTCAAGGACAGCTCTGCCAGAGTGATGGCTTGCCCAAGGTCATCCAGCAGCTGCCAGTGGAAGAGGAGTGGGGGATCAAACCCAGTTCTCCCAGATTAGAGTCCGCACACTTTCAACCAAATCTTGATCAGAAAGCTGCACACCGAAGAGATACCAGGGATCTATTAATAGCTATTCCAAATAAATGTGGAAAATAAAGAAAAAATGGAATGTGAAAATCTAACAAGGAAAAGGACTCCTGCTCACTGCATGGAGAAATGCGGGTCTGTGCTGCGCCCCTTTTGAATTAATCATACGCATGAAGGTTTCTCCTTTGAAAAAACATCACCGCCCCCAAAACAACTGGCACACCAGGGCTAGAAATCTTCTCCCCGATGCTCTAGATCTCTATGTGCTGGAAACGGTTTTGTATGGGAAGGGGCACAGCAGACCGCCCCGGCCACCCAAGTGACATGGTACGGAACAGGCTCCGGTTTGCTACTTCAGAGAGCGGCAGACCCTCGCCTACCACGGCCGCTACAAGCCAGGCTGTTTCTGTAGTGAGCATTGACAGGCTAAAGACACAAAGACCGACTCCAAGTTGCAGCCTTGAAAAATTTTTATCTCTGAAGTCACTGAGACAGCCAACAATCATCTGCCACAAAGAGCCCAAAAGCTCACGTCTGCATCAAGCCGTCATTGGGAAGAGTCCCACGGACTGAGTCTGAAGCCGCTTGCTGAACGTCTCACAAAGACCCCCCAGCCCCAAAGGAGCCCACCTACCCACGGGCTTGCAAGTCCATTCGCCTTTCCCGTTCCCGAGGCACACACACTCCAGCATGTAGCCGCCCGTCTCGTGAGGCCTGCGCCAGGTGTCGCCGATCTTGTAGGACTGACCCCCCTCATGACAGCGATCTGTGGGGATGGAACAGACGGACCCGCCTCAGACCGAGGCCACGGGTCCACCCAGCCCCAGCGGCCAGGGGTGCTCCACGGCTTGGCTGTCCAAGCTCCCTCCCTCCCGCAGGGGCTGAGCGCCAGAGGCCCTCCGAACCAGAGGCCCCACCGGACTACGGCGCCTCTTGATGAGACCGTGCTCTGGGACACTCTGCCCGAGGCTCTGGGGAAGGACAGGGAGGCTCTTCCCGCATGCCAGCCATCAGGTAAGGGGAGGAGGAGTTTGTCTCCTCTGGTTTGGGCTCTGTGTGGAATGTGAGCATCCGGAGCGGTCAACGCTCTTATTCTGAGGCCAAAATACAAATGACCCAGCTCCACTTGACTTACAGTTCAGTTAAAGGTGTCTAATGACTGCCACATGGCATTTTCTTGTAACATCCAAAGTGTCCTTTACCCACATCCAAGCCCAACGCCAATTATGCTGGCATGCTTTATATATCTGAACAGTTACTGCCGAAAAAACCAGGAGGTTCTTGTTGTTCTGATGCCCCCATGTTCCATTACTGATACTCACTGCTAAAAGTATTTGGTGAAAAATCACCATTGCCTTTTCCCACATGGGAACGCAAGCAAAGAAAGGCTGTTAAAGAGAGGCCAACTTTGTGGTCAAATGCCACTTTACATAGGAAATCTAAACACATCTTCGTGGCTGCACACTGCAAAAGCCAACTGCTTGGTTTCACCCAATAGATATCACCATGGATAATTTTGCTGCCTGAATATTATGTTCGTAGAAGAGAGAAAAACTGTGATCAGGGGAATACATTTTGCAACTAAAGAGTAGCATAACCAAACAGCTCAGGAGGGCACTTTTATAAAAGGAATAAGATTGCAGTCTAGTGCACCATTTGTTATTGGGGGTATCAGCTTGCTTTTCCTGCACGTTTTGCTTTGTAATCCACATTTTGCGTTACGGCACAACAGGCATCAGATTGTTTTTGGTTTGCGTGGTTTTCTAGTTCTGTAATCCTAATCTTATTGCATTGTTTATGTCTTATGCTGTCTGACTGAATTGTTTTTGACATTCTGCAATCCACCTTGTGTTTCAGCGAGAAAGGTGGGTTACCAACGAAGAAGTAGATAAAGAACATTCACAGTTCAAATTCCTTCCTGGCCCGCATAATTCTTTGCACCTGCTGCCCTTCAGTGACGGGAAACCCCTGACTTGTGCAGAGCTGCGGCAACCTGGGGAGTCAGTCCCAAAGCAGAGGCATCGCTTCTCCCTGACATACTTGCGATCGTGCAGCTGATTCTTCCGCGGCCAGCTCCGATGCACGTGCAGTCCCAGATCATGGAGTCCTTGGGACGTTCGTATGTTTCCCCAACTCGGTAAGAAGATCCAGTGTATTTGTCAAAGCAGGTTTCTTCCGCTGAGTAGAAGGAAAAAGAGTATCACCAGGGGTCATTTCCTGCGGGAGCACCCAGGAGCAGAGCTCCAGCAGTAAGGGTTGGGGTACATGGAACAAGCCCCGCCCCCTGCTCCCAGCAGCCCTCAGTCGGGAGGAGCAAGAAGCAGAGCCCCCCCCTGGCCCACCTTCAGGAACAAGCGCTCCCTCCTTTGTGAGGGCAGATCTGCGCTTCCCCCCCCACAGCTAGCAATCAAAAAAAGTCCAGTGACACCTTTAAGACCAAGTTTTATTCAGGTACAAGCTCACCCTCCTCTGTGAGGACAGATCTGCACATTCCCCCCCGCAACAGCTAGCAATCCAAAACAGTCCAGTGGAGCCTGAGTGGTGGGTGTGGCCTTCTGACACACTTCTGGTGATGTCAGGGGGCGTGGTATATGCAAATAAGTTATGCTAAGAGCTCCTGCACCTCTTTTTCTACAAAATGACCCCCGAGTATCATCATAGCGGGAATGCTTTTTAAATTTGCAGATGACACTAAATTGGGAGGGGTAGCAAATACAGTAGAAGACAGAGTCAGGATACGGGATGATCTTGACAGGCTGGAAAACTGGGCTAAAACAAATAAAATGAATTTCAACAGGGATAACTGTAAACGTCTGCATCTAGGTAGGAAAAATCAAATGCATAATTATTGGTTGGGGGAGACTTGTCTTGGCGAAAAGGATCTAGGGGTCTTAGTAGACTACTCACTGAACATGAGTCAGGAGAGTGATGCAGTAGCTAAAAAGGCAAATATCATTTTGGGCTATATCAACAGAAGTACAGTGTCCAGATCATGTGGTGGTATCGCTTTACTCTGCTCTGGTTAGACCTAACCTAGAATATTGTGTTCAGTTTTGAGCACCACAATTTAAGAAGGATATAGACAAGCTGGAACGTGTCCAGAAGAGAGCAATAAAGATGGTGAGGGGTCTGGAGATCAAGTGAAGGAAAGGTTGAAGGAGAGCTGGGTCTGTTTAGCCTGGAGAGGAGATGACTGAGAGGTGATATGATCACCATCAAGTACTGGAAGGGCTGTCATCTAGAGGATGGTGCAGAGTTGTTTTCTGTGGCCCCAGAAGGTGAGACCAAAACCAACGGGTTGAAATTCAATCAAAAGAGTTTTTGGCTAAACTTTAGGAAGAACTTCCTGACAGTTAGAGCAGTTCCTCAGTGGAACAGGCTTCCTCGGGAGGTGGTCGGCTCTCCACCTTTGGAGGTTTTCAGACAGAGGCTGGATGGCCATCTGACAGCAATGCTGATTGTGTGAACTTGGGCAGA